AGAAGACAGTTGGTCATGTAAGAACAATTCATGTAGACATCTGAACATCCCTTAAGGTTTATGGCCATCTTAAATAGTTAGGACCTTGTTCACACAACCGCTAAAAGGATTGACTAGCTTTGAACGCAATGTTTGATCTGCACTTAGCTATTCACGTCCATGGCTTCCCACCAGAAGAGTAATAACAATGTGGGCCTGTGAAGGTTTCAATAGCACAGGTACCAAGATGTTCTTCAGCATGAACCACATGTATGATTGGGCACTGAAAGAAAAGGGTTCCCATTATTCCTGGTGGCCAGTTTTCATGTTATCATTCACCATCCCTTATGTCTGTGTTTGTTTCTTCCAGCAGTTGGTGGTTTTCTCGAACTCCTTCGGGATTCTGTTTCTCTCTGCTTGGCAACATTTTTAATGCTCCTGGAACATTTATATAAACTCTCTAAATCACAGGCATGTGACCTCCCACAGACCTGTAGAGCAGTGGAACTGACTGGTAGCTTACAAAATCCTGTGATATACAGAAAAGGTGATATGGGGCAGATGACGAGAGAAAAGTGTTGGTGAGAGCTGCCATTGCTGACTAGGTTTTGAAGGTGCAGGTTCCAAGGGCTGCATACCGATCCCTCAATACCGGAGTAAGTCATTGTTCCTGGAACAATCATGTGACTACTAGGTGTATGCATAATTATACCACGTCAATGACTCACAAAGTAGGCAGATGACGACATCTCCAAAGTGTGCAACTTCAACAAACAAGCCAGCCGATGATTCCGTATGATTCCGTCCTGGCAGACGTCTTTTAAAGAGAACCTGTACTGTGGTGGCTGTGTCTAAATAAAGGAAAGCAGAGGGTAAAGGACAGGTCACCAGTATTGCTTGTAGGTTATCGGCAACTGGTCTTTTCCCCATTACTGACTTAGCATGCCTTGTTATTGGTAGAGGAGCAGGGCTTTGCTTCCTCATGTCAAAGCTGCCCCCCTGATGACTAGAATGAATGAAGCAGAAGCAAGGAGATTCTTGCAGTGCAGGACCTCAAGTACAGATTCCTCTCCAGCAAGAACAGTGACATCACCATATGGCAATCCAAATCTGGTGAGACTAGCAATCAGAAGGAGCAGAGGCTTAGAGTTTACATTGCAGATATACAGCTATGAGGCTACAGAAAAGGGGTTGGTATGCACAAATCTATTACATTTGTTAAGTCTGCCAATAAAATCTCAAATTCTATTCATCATTGCTAAAATGTGGTCAGAAATGGGCAGAGTAATCGCCCCCGGCATCTCTATAAATAGGACCCTACTACCCAGAATGGTATTTGCCCTATAAAAAGGCACAGAACATTAATTTGAAGCCTTAAAGAATCAGGGCCCTGTAGTGGTTATCTAAGCCCTGGAACCAGCCACTAAGCACTGTACCTGTGGGAGAAGCCTTGGATTGCAGCTGCCGTTTCAGTATCTTGGGCTCACACAAATGTGATTCACAAAGAAGCTGAATAGGTTGGGCTTTGCTGGCCCTAAACACTTATGTGGAATATAAAAATGTCAGGGTCTGTATGAAGCTTCTCAGACAGGTATTTATCTTCAGGGCAGATGCTTTTAAAAGAGAACTGGGGTTGCTGACTTAATTTTTAAGGTGCAGGCTGTTGTCTTGATTCTGACTTCTCTAACTTAGAAGTTACTGGTTTGGAACACACATGTGGCCGGTGAAGTCCTGAAAGTATACACTACCATTGATCATGCTTCTTCCAAGGCAGTGACCAATTTTGGGACCAGGTCCTTTAACGCCAAGGTGAAATGGCCAAGGTCCGCCCCTATTCCCCCCCTCATTAGCTGTGAACTACTCCAGCAGCATAAGTTGCAGGCCTTGCCCTTTATGCACCTGCTGAAGCAACCAGAGAGGCTGCCTCTTCTGAATACCCCACGGCCCGGCCCTGGCAGTGACCCTCTCAGCAGTGAAGCTAAGGTCAGGATGACGGCTCCAGTCAGGATTTGCAGCTCCCATATTCCTATCCTGATATGTTCACTTTAATGTTGCTAGTCCTGGCTTGTCTCAGGTAAGAGGCGATGTGCACGCTGTTGTATTATTCAGCTCTCTCGAATCTCTCAGGCTCATATTGTATGCACCATTTCTCTCCGCTGAAAACACATTCGAGTTCAGATCAGGCTGTGGGACTCACAACAATCTCAGCGGCACGATAAATATCCTGGGCTCCATCTTGTTCTAACACCCCAAAGCTGCCAACGCTTCAGCGCCATTCCCGGGGATGCTCGATGCATTGAAACGCACCACCAAATACGCCATGATCACAGGAGGGAGGATCAAATCATTCAACTGCATTCTGGTTATAAAACGGGTTATCGCACAGCAAAAGGTAAATTGTTCGATCAAAAAAACAAAAGCTCTTCTTCTATATAATTTTACCAAGATACCGAGAGCAGGAAGAATAAGAGAAGTGCTACCGAGTCCATTCATGCAGAACAAGAACAAAACCCTAAGACTTACACCCAGCATACCAGACAAAAGAAGTGGTACTATGCGCCATACATACATACAAAGTACAGGTACTGAGAATGACACCCAGCATACAGTACAAGAGAAGTGGTACTGTGCAGAGTCCATATATACAGAATAAGAGGAGATACTGAGAATTACAACCGGCATACAGAACAAGAGAAGTGGTACTGTGCAGAGTCCATACATACAGAATAAGAACAGATACTGAGAATGACACCCGCATACAGAACAAGGGAAGTGGTACTGTGCAGAGTCCATACATACAGAATAAGAACAGATACTGAGAATGACACCCGGCATACAGGACAAGAGAAGTGGTACTATGCACCATACATTCATACAAAGTACAGGTACTGAGAATGACAACCGGCAAACAGGACAAGAGAAGTGGTACTGTGTAGAGTCCATACATACAGAATAAGAGCAGATACTGAGAATTACACCCGGCATACAGGACAGGAGAAGTGGTACTGTGCAGGAACCATACATAAAAAGTAATAACATACATGGAGAATTTAACCCAGCACACAAAACATGAGAAGTGCTACTGTGTAGGATCCATACACACAGAATAAGAACAGATATCAAGAATTACATCCAGCATACAGAACATGAGAAGTGCTGATGTGCAGTATCAATACATAAATAATTAGAGCAGATCCTGAGAATTACACCCAGCATATAGAACATTTGCAGCGTCCATACATTAGAGGCCTCTTAACAGGCAATGGAAGGGAGTCTCCTGCAAAGTGAGCAAACCAAAGCTTTAGAAACATAGTTTTCAACTTGTGCACTTAACTCCTCAGCTTTCCAACTCAAATATGCTGACAAAGCATCTTCATGTCATTTTTGTATGAAGTTGTGAAGTGCAATTCTTGGCAGACTGGGTAGGCACACTCAGAGTCACAGAATGAACAAGCTTCATACCACCAATGGTTCTTAGGTGCTGCTGGACTGCCGAATTAGCACCTTTGGGTGTATAACAAACATTTTCAGATGCGCTTCTTTGAACTGAGCAACTCAACTTAACATATCTAACTGGCTAAAACTGTCAAGGCGATTTGGCCTACAACCAGCGCTATGTAAGAATCATACGTGCCTGGGAACAAATGTCATAGTTTATACCAACCGTTCTCAGCCAGAGCTCAGTGAAGCCCTAGGGTTCTTCTACAGATTGCTAGGGTTGCCTTCTACTGTGACTGATTGACCTGTGCCTGCCTAGTTCCAGGGCCAACAGCACTTCGCAAAACCAACAACACAACACCAATATCTGTAAAGGTTCCATTCTGCCCACCACTGTATGGGTTGCATTCTTCCTATGTAAGTATGGAGCATTTTCCCCATTAACCGCACATAAAGGGTTCCCTCAGACCTAAAAATGATTTAATGGGTCGAGAAACACCGGCTTAGATCGTATTACCTCTTCCCGTGTGCTATGCCCATGCATGTTGGTTTACACGGCACAGTCATTCTGTCAGCATATGAAACAGATAGAAACCTACAGTCCTTATACAGCCTACGATCTGAGAAAGGGAAATTTAAACCAGAGCTGTACAGAATTTCTTCCCGCTGATGAGTCCACCCTTTAACATGTGCCTCCCTAAGCCGTGGCCCATGTGTCCTTTTTCATACTTGGTGCACCCAGAACCCTCCATCATTCTCTTTGAAGGATGGAGTATTCTGGTCCAAACATCCATCCTAGACTTGACATCACTGGGATTTCCTAATCTGCTATTCTGTTAGAAAGGGATCATGAAATAGTTTCGGTCCATATATGGTCTACTATGTGAGAACTGAAATGTTTGCCAGAACCATAGAACATTTCACCACCCGGGTGAACCAATGTTATTGTAAACAGTCATTCGCACATCATAAGCTTGCATTTAGCCAAACGATGGAGTGGAAATGGTTGGTTTAGCACAGGGATGGCCAAACTGCGGCCCTCCAGCTATGGTGGAACTACGAATCCCATGAGGCTTTACAAGATTCGCAAAGCCACAGACATGACTCCCGGAGAGAGAGATGCTTCATGGGATTTGTAGTTTCACCACAGCTGGAGGGCCGGAGTTTGGCCATCCCTGGTACAGCACAATAGTTGTCTACTGTACATGGCCAAATTTACATAATGTTTTAAAATATATATATTAACAAAAAAAACCTGCCTGCCCAGCTCTTTATACGAGAGCTGTGGCCTAGGGATCCATGTACGTAATTTGGCAGCAGGATCCTTTCCCCTTCTCCCAGGCCTGGCATACCCAAAACCCTCCATCATTTTGTGGGAACGATGGAGAAAGTTTGGTCCAAACGTTCATCTTAGACTTGACAGCCCTGCGATTTCCGAATTTGCTGTTCACTTTGAAAGGGATCATGAAATACGTCTGGATGGGACCTTGCTGCCAAATTACGTACAGTAACAAGTGGTTTTGGCAGCGGCGTCGATGTTTGCTTGTGGTTTAGACTTTCTAAGGAAGGGAAAGGAGAGGTACCTCTTCAATGCAGCAGGTCTGGGCGTATGGCCGTACGGTTTGATTTCATTCCATTCCCACGCTATGTGTTTGTCATAAACGTGAACCAATCTCTGGATCCTGCTCACGTCAAGCGATGGTCACCTGCAGGGAGACAAAAATGGCACCTGTTAGCCAATCCATTGAATAATACACTTTATTGGTATTCGCCTGATACGTATTTGAGGTTTTCACATAAAGTATTAAAGCGTTTCAGTTTACTTTCATTATTATTATAATACAGGATTTATATAGCGCCAACAGTTTGCGCAGCGCTTTACAATATAAGAAAGACATTACAATCACAATACAAGATGGTAAGGAAGGTATCCACCAATCCACCACGTTCTAGTTTTTTATTTGCATTGCATTAAGGATGGTTAGTTAGAGTGCTACAATCCTGCCAGGTTTCTACTGCTATTTGTGTCTCCTATGAGCAATGTTTCCTTCACTTCCTGTTTCCCCGTCACTAGAACCAGAAGAAAAAAAAAGAAAATCCCTCCAAACAGATGCAATAGCTGTTAGAACATATAGTCAGTGGATTGAAGAGGAGTTCGAACAGTGGGAATGCCTGTGCCTGCCTGTGTTCCTTTTAAAGAGGTTTTGCCTCACATACTGTCCTCCGACACTGTATCAGAGTGTGACAGGTTGTAAGTGAAAGTCTCCCATAGGGCGGCACAGACAGTAATAACTAGAGGTGCACTGAAATGAAAATTTCAAAGCCGAAACAAAACTGAAATAAAAAAAAGAATTTTCCTAACTTTTTCCAATTTTTTTTAATATTTTGTTTTTATAAACTTTTAACTTTTTTATATTTTATTTATTTATTTTATTTTTATATTAAATATTTGTATTTTTTACTTTACTTTTAGGGGCTTTGGGGAAATATTGGGGGTCTAAACAAACCCTGATATTTCCCTTTTAAAATAGAAAAAGAGATTGAGGACACGGAGTCCTCAGAGACACAGAGTCCTCAGCGACACAGAGTCCTCAATCTCTTTTTCTGCAGCCTCTGTTATCAATGAACAGGAATCCTCTATACTGAGTGTTCCTGATCATTCATAATATGAGGACAGAGTGTGTTTACTATAACCACAATCATGAATGGACAGGAGGTGATGTAGATCACTTACTATACATTCATAATTGAGGATATAGTAATCATACTCTGTCCTCAATTATTTACAAACACTCACTGATCACTACTGACTGCTTGTACCCGCTCTCCATTCTGGTGCGGCTGTCACAGGAGGTTGGGCAGTGCGGTGCGGGGAGGAGAGCTCGATCTGACAGCTGACTCCTTCCCTGCACCGCCGGCCTCCTGTGACAGCACTGCAAGCTGTCTCCGCCCACACACCGCTCTCCTAATCTGTCACAGGAGGCTGAGCGGTGCAGGGAGGAGAAACGCCAGCCGCTCATAGCGCTCTCCTCCCGCAGCGCTCGGTCTCCTGTAACAGTGTCTCTCCTCCCCGCTGGGACACAGAGCAGCGCCCAGCGGGGAGGAAAGAAAGCACGGATGCACTGCTATTTCGGCAGAAAAATAGCATTTTGCCAAAAGTGCCATTTCCGGCTGATACGTTTGCGCACCCGAAATATCGCTGCATCCCTAATAATAACCCTTTCTCAATATATGCAAAAAGGTTGGAGCTTTAAATGAGATCCAAGGTCCTATTCTACCATTGGAGCCTGCCGATGCTAAAATCCTAGAAGCAGAGATACGTTGGAGCTAGCACTTCACCATGAGTGATTCTGTAGATCTATCATCTGTCTCGGAACTAGCATTGCTTCGGGATTTGGGGTGCCAACAGGTTCTGGTGTTGGTGACAGCTATCAGCACCTACAAGGTGTTAGCTCCCTCTCTCTATATCTTATTTCAACAATTCTATCACCCAACTACCTGATATCACTAATTCTATTGGCCATCCATTTCCAAAGTGATCAACGGGTCTATTACTATTATATCAACTCTATAAGTTGAACTCGATGGACTTGTGTCTTTTTTCAACCTGACTAACTAGGCAACTATGTTATATGTCTGGCTGTCCCAGTCTGATATCACTAATGTCATGATCTATATATTCAGTGACGTAATGTCTATACATCTATCTATCTGTCTATCCATCTATCTATCTATCTAGCTATCTATCTATCTATCTATCTATCTATCTATCTATCTATCTATCTATCTATCTATCTATCCGCCCATCTCTCTTTCTAAGTTTTCTTGTCATGATATTGTCTATCCAGTGTCTCAATTGATTGATCGGTCTATGTCTGTCTGTCTATCTGAACCATGTTCCTATCTGATTGTGTTATTGGTTGCCGGGGACACAGCTAGGCAATGTTTTCTTGTGGTATAGATCACGGTTTAATGAACGGCGCTGGCGGCAGCAGCGAGCAGGATATTTATGAGCACAGAGTCTCAGACGTGTAAACAGCTGATGTTACTGTGCACGGGTGACATCATTTAACCCTCTTAATTCTCTGATCGTCCTTAAACACAGGACCCAGATTTTCCTTGTGAAATATTCAGCACACTATTTCCGCATCATCCATTCGCCGCCCCGGCTGGATAACCTATAAAATATTTACGTTGCGGTCATTTCATGTTGCCTGACCCCTCTTTCTCCAGGCACAGACGTGAGATAAAAACACATCACTGGACTACGAACCGCGGCTGGCCGAGAAGGGAGCGGGTCGCATCCAATTAATGAGACGTCACAGCCCGCAATCAATGTCGCTTCTCGCACAAATCATTTTGATTTCTGGAGCTGTAGGGCCTCAAACTCGGGAACACAGTAGACAGATATTTTCATTCAATAACAGTCATCGCCACCAACTTCCCCTGTTCTTGTTCTGTAGATATGTTACTTTCAGGTGCTCACCTAGTGACATGCAGTTATTTTCCCTAAATCCTACATTTTGTACTTTTTTTTGTTTGTCTTGATAATATTTCATGATAACTGCGGGGAGTCTGACTTCATCTGTCTTTGTAGGCCAACATCATTGATCCACTTGAACCCCATTTGAATCCACAGCCGTATCTGACTTGCACACCCATAGCCCTAGACAAGACCTGCTAGCAAGAGACTAGAAGACTAGCAAGAGGAAGCTCCCATGTTGCAAGAAAGTACATCAGGGTAAAACACACTGCCATGTTAGAGGGCGAATAATTCTACTGGAGACTGTTATGTTAGGAACTTCTTCCTTGATACAAGAGACCATTAACAATGGTTGCCATCTTACTGAAGACTGCCAGAGGTTGCTGGCAAGTTACAAGAGAGAGTCAATTTACAAGAGGAAGCTTCTATAGAGAGACTATACCTTGGTAAAATACACTTCCATGTTAGAGGGTGATGCATTTGTAAGGGGAAGCTCCTATTTTACAAGACTGCAAGACAATGCACTCACAAGTTAGATGGTGATGCATTATAGAAGACCCTGTTATATAAGGAACTTCAGCCTCAATATAAGAGATCCTTAAAGACATCTGTCATGTTACTGGTGACCTCTAAAGGTTGCTGGAAAGTATTAAAGGACTGATAGAGAGTGCTTCCAAGTTGCAGGACACTAGCAACATTAAAGGAGAATGCAAAGTTATAGGAAACTAACTTTTGCCACACTAATACTGCGTAGCTCTCCAACTGTACCACATTTGAAGGGACTGTCCATCTTATGGATCCAAGTCCCTCTTACTGGTCTGTGGTAAAGTCTTCCTATAAGAAATGTATTTAACTACCAAACTAAGCATGAGGGGAGTTTCCTTACTTCACTAAGCAAACTTTATGGTGAATCATACTTTTTATGGAGGTTTGTGTTCTAGGAATATAAAGCAGGCTTAAAGGGTCAGTCCATGTAAACCTGTTTATAGTAGCTTTTGGTAGATGCTGGAGATTTAAACCATCTGATATCTCTTGGGCTGTATCGGTGAGATCTGTGTGCCAGGTCCCTGGGTCTGAATACCTACTGTACTCTTTATGAAGGGCTCCCATCATCCATGCTGGATTTTTGTTCATTTTACATTATGTAGAATGGAACAGGAGGAGCTGAAACACAGAAACGGGTATGGGAACACCACAACACACAGATGGACAGGAAGAGGGGAGTGGGAACAGCCCAAACTCCCAGGTGGACAGGGGATAGGAACAGCCAAAACTCCCACATGGACAGGGAAAGGGGGGCAGAAACACCCAAAACTCCCAGGTGGACAGAGAAATTGTGGCAGGAACACCCAAAACTTCCAGGTGGATGGGGAGAAGGGGCAGGAACATCCAACACTCCCACGTGGAAAGTAGTCATCGCTCCAAGCTCCCTCCTATGATGGACTACAATCTCGATGCAAATGAGTAAACTGAACATGAGAATGTAGTCCATCCCGGGAGTGAGCTTGGAGCGGTGACTACTTTACAACACACACAGGGACCATTGGGAACAAAAGTAGCCCCCCTCCAGAAGGAAGGAGAGTGTCAGCACTAATTCAGAGATGATTGGAGGATCTCCAGCCGAGTGATGCACAAAAAAGTTCCAGTATTGTTAATAATTAAGGTACTTGAATGCATTATTAAATTGGGAGTTTTGGATGCTCCTGTTCCTTCTTCCCATCCACCGCGGAGTTTTGGGTGTACCCGCCTCCCTCTCCCAGATGAAGAAAGACTGTCCGCAGTTATCATATATATTACAGTATTGCTAATTATTTAGATTTGAATGCATTTTTAAGATTTAACTCCTGAGTTTAGTTTTTAACTTAAAGATCAATATTTGAAGTGCTTATTATGCACATTCCATTTTAACAGGCACACCAAGAAATTATCTCAATATATGGTGTTTCCTATAAGCAGATTTGGAAATGATATCCACGCTCTCCGCTGATAAAGGCATCTGCATTACATATTTATAGCTGGCTGAGTGACTTTAGATAAGCAGGGTGGATGAGGAAAATAGGGGTGATCGCTGCACTATATCTTATGAAGCTGTGAAAGGATCTGATGCTCCAATATCCGTTCCTTCCAACTCGTTAGGAAGCTGGTGAGTGCGTGACGGCTGCCAGGCGTTACTTACAAATGGTGTTGCTGCTGGGGCCCCCCGAAATATTGACAAGATGCCAA